CAGAGTGTCTATGGGCTAATCAACTGGACGTCCCTAAGAAACAGTTCATAGCCAAAGGGATGTTAGATACCCAAATACTGGAGGGGACTTGGGACTATGAACCCAGTCATCACAAAAGCCATTAATTCAGGCCTACAGGTTAACATCTAAATGTAGGAGGGGTGGTATTTCAGATATTCTCTTCAGCACCTCCTAAGGGCCACTTGCAGCATCACCCCAGTCTATGACACCTCAGTGAACAGTGTAGGGAATTCTGCTTTTAGATTCCTAACTTCCTAAATGTATTGAATAGGAAATATAGGTGTATTCCTTATTCAGTGCATTTAGGAAGTTAGGAATCTAAGAGCCTGCTTTGGGGTCTGTGGATTCCATCCCCAAGTAAGCTGCTTAAATCCTTTGGTGAATTTGGCCCTCAGTGATTTAGAAGCATAAATCCCACTGATAAATCATATGTCAGGGCGAGGAGAGGGAGGAGAAGAAATTAGGTCATCAGGAAGAAGTGACAAGAGCTAAATTCTGACATCAAGAGAGGATAGTTTCTTCAGATTTGCGAGTATACCAACAGCTTTGAGCTCCTGGACTGAACTGTGGAAACAGCAATCAAACAGACCTGTGTCTGGAAAAATAATGTTACCCTGTAATTAAAAACTGTATCATAATGGATATGCACAGGCCATGTTCACAGTAATATTTCTTGACCTGGAGTCCTTGATTATGCAACCCTGAAGCTTTTTCAATGTGTTATATTTAAATATAGGAATACTTGCACTACAGCATGCTGGTAGTTAGAAGAGGAACCATATAATGAGACCAGGTTGCTAGTCCATTGTTCCACAACGTGGATTATTTGCCCTGCCTCACCTCTGGAGTCCCTGAAGTCTGTGTGGTTTGGTGGGTAGTGTTTGCAGAGCCTCTCCATTATCTGCTTGTAGTGCATCAGCCTATGCAAAGGCCTGAGGAGGAAGGTGTTGAGGGGCAGGTAGCAGACTTTCTGTAGTTCAAAGTCCCTGCACAAGGTCTCCAGCTTGCGAGAGTTCTTAATCTCATTCTCCAACTCCATCAAAATCTCATTGTGCTTCCGCAGGTGAATTGTCAGTTGCTTTTAGGCAGAGAGAAAGAAAAAAGCATGTATGGAAGATGCATGAACAAGCACGAACAGCCAAGTTTGTCCCAATACAAGATCTGGCTAATGCTGCCATAGCTTTTCCAAACAAAATCCCTGTCTCAGTGCAACACTTAGGCTCTGACATTACCCTACAAAAGAAGAAATTAATTATTGAAACTGAAAAATCCCACCCCATACACTTAATTTAACCCTTTGTTCCAAGTCTTCTCCACTCTCACCCTCTCCGCATCCCCTGTAGAATAAATAAATCAAAACTAATAGGTGCAGAGTCTAGCAGCAGCCCAGAAATTCAGGGTTCAATATCTTACATATCCTGAAGTTATATACAAGAAAGAGCATGTGTCAAGGGGGATGAACAACACTGGAGTTAGGAAACGTATAGACTGGAATTTTCCAAAACAAATAAATAAATGGAGGGAGGAGGGGGGCATGTGTATGTAGGTATCTGACCCCATTAGGCCTCATTGATGTAGCTTAGCTATGTAAAACTAAAATTTCAGCTTTGGTTTATTTATTAAAGAGGATTGACATCTGGAAGGCCTTGGGACAACCCCCTTCCCCACAAACATACAGGTGCAATCCATATAGCAACAACCAGGTTACAATATTTCATACTTTCTGTGCCTGGATTATTTTTGTATCCACATTGTGCTAGATGGGCCACTCAAGTGCAGAGACAAGTGGTGGTATGAATTACACATCTGTAAGTGATCAGAAGTGAATGCAATTTGCATGCTGTGTGGGTAGGGCTGAAGCAACTTCATCTTAGTCAGCATAAGGCCCATCTAATTATAAGTCTATGACTTTCTTTAAAAAAGAGAGTCTGATTGCAGTTTTATTTTGTAAATTGAAGCAGATTATTTTAGCAATGAACAGAGATCATATAATGGACAAAGCAAAGTCTAGAAACCAATAAATACGCTGTAGCAGAAAATGAGGGAAAACTGGACTTGCATATATTGAACTGGCTTAATCTGAAGCTAATGTGCCGCTTGACAGATTTCCAATCTACTCCCTCCCTCTGGTGATTTACTACATCTTTATACTTAAGGTAGTTGTACTATAATTGAGCTAGTTTCTAGTACTTGCTTAGGCTATGGACATGTCATTTTGATAGGCAGTGAAACTAAGCCAGGAGGTACCCTTCTTCACTTCTACAGAACCTGCCTGGCAGTTATTTACTACTCTTCACTTATTCCCCATGTTAATTAAATGGAGTGTGTCAATTCAGAGGGCTTTCGATAAAACACAGCATAAGCGTGTAGATTTTAAACTGACTTTTCTGTTCCCTATTGATTTCTTTAAGCTAAACTGGGTTTTGATTTTTGGCTTTAGCGATGGTCGCTCTCAAAGGAGATGGAGCTGGATCCTCTAATGGAAAACAGAGGAAGGTGACTGTGACAGCATGCAAAGGGGTGAGAGTTACAGTGAAAGCTGCAATCTTTCTCCTGGGCAGTTTCACAGAAAGACCTGAGGGCATCAAAGAACAAACAATTTAAGGTTATAAGGTACCAGATACTTAGCTCTAAACATAATTTTTAAGTTTACCATGAGGGTTCAGGTAAGAAAGCATGTAGGCAAAGAGTAACACTTATTGGGAATAATTAGCTGGTATTAAAAAGTGCATATTGCCATTTACTGTCATGGGGAAATAAAGCAGTATCTTGCAAGTGTATTGAAGAAATAGTCATGATTGGTCTGTCAGTGATGAAATGGGTTAATAGTGGATTGCAAGGCAGGATTCCCATCCATATTAACAATGTAAACCATGTTCTAGTGGCCTCATTGGTGTCTTGACAGACTTGTACGTAACTCCATACTCTCTGTGGTAGTATTCAGCAGTATGCGACTTCCACTGCAGGCTCACACTGTACAACCAGTGCACTGAATGATCTTGTACGAGGCTCTAGCCAGCTTTTAACAGTTACAAGTTTTGTTTTCTCTTTTCAAAAATACTGAAGTTACCTATCCCATAATTTAAAAATAATACATAAAATATATAAAAATATTTCAGTTCAATTTTGAATTACGGAAGAACAGAGCTTCCAACACAATTTCGTATCTAGGATCAGTTTCCAGAGAGCTAGGTTTGCAAATGTGCGCCTACTTGGAATATGTCATTGTAAGGTTACTAACACTTCAAGTGTCTTGCAAGAGACATTTACATGCACAATTGTTTATTGTGATTCCTCAATCTCATATCTGCACATGGAAATGGTGATCTCATTTTGAGCAAGGACAGGTGAACAATTATACTGCATTAAATGCAGTTATACTGCATTAAAGTCTCCTGACTTACTGCTTGATAGTGCAAATCAACTGATCAGTGTGCTTCTTCCCACCTTGCATGAAGCTAAACTTCAGTGATCTACTCTTGAGTGAAGCATGTAGTAAATGAATGCAATTTAGCTTTCACTGTTGGTGGGATAAAGTGGAGAGACAAAACAGAGTAGATTCAGCTGAACTGTGGTAAGTCCTTCCTTCACCCCAATCTTTTGAAGAAGTATGTTTGTTTTGCTTATTCATGCTCTTTGCTCCCCTATTTGAAAGTTCAAGTGGTTTGAAAAACCTCCTGAGTGTATGCGTTTATTGCATCTGTAATAATTAAAAATCAAAGGGCTTGCAACTCAGACTTCCATTCAGAGAAAACAGAAATTGATTTACTTTAATTGACAAATTGTTGTTAATGAAGTTCACACCACATGATAAAAAGCACCAGGAATTACACCATTAAAGTGAAAAATACTTTGATTATAATCCATGCCAAAGCTGAATGGTTATAGGATCATTCCTACCTTCATACTCTGAATGTTCTTTAACATAACATCACCAATTCTTTGGTAATCTCCTTTAATATGAGCATTAGAGCGCCCTTCCCTGTTAACAACAAAAACATGATAAACTTTAGTTATGCAACTTAACTGCAGAATCATTTACAGGGAATTAATAAAAGAGAAACTCAATAGTTTATTTTTTTCAAAATCCTAAAGCTGTATGTTCCCTAATCTATGAACTCATAAAGAAGCTTCTTACTGTACAGCTAATTCCCAAGAAGAACACATTCTTCTTTCAAAATTGGAATGTCTGAATAATAATACAGAGGCCTTGCATCTTATAAAACCTTTATAAGGCTTTTAAGGAAAACTGACATTTTAAAACTATAAACAAGGAACATTGGGGAGTAGGAAGAGAAATAAGGAAAACTTCAGAAATATTGCTGCAATATATTGACTCAGAAGAAAGATTTTGTTAAGAGCAACGAGTGCATCCCATAACAGGGATCACTGGTTGGCTCATTCTAAAATTGCCTCTATTGCCTGAAGCAGAAACAAAGTTTCTCAAGCATCTGGGTTGAGTTGAGTGGTGTCATATGCTTACAGGGAAGATTCTATCTGATCTATCATTCTTGGCATTTAAAGAAAGAATACATCTTTCTCCACCCATTACTGTTCCTTCTCCACCAACCAGTCAAACTGCAATTCCCATAACAAGTGCTAATGTATTTTGCAGTGGGCACTCAGCTTCAGAAAAACCTAACTTCTAAAGAGATAAGATTCATTTACTTCTAAATACATGAGTAAGAGATGTATGTGTGCAGGGGAGAGGGCTGACAGGAGAATTAAAAGGTAACAGAATTCACCTCCAACCCCAAAATAAGCTCAATTATTATTATACAGGCAGTCCTCGACTTACAACGTTTTGAGTTGCAATGTTTTGCACTTGCAACGTTTATAAATTGACACCGTTTCAACTTTATGATGTCAGTTTTGTCTTACAACGTTTGATCCGATGCGACGCCACACCAGCGAACAAGGTCGCTGCGTCGCTCATCTCCCTGGAGAACATCTGTCCAAACTTCCTTGGACACTTTCTTTAAGAAAGCACACAAGACTCCAGAAAAACCTGCAGCCAAGACTCCTGAGAAGACTCCAGCCAAGAACCCTTCAAGAAGTCCAACCAAGAGCCTTTCAAAAAGTCCAGCAAAGTCACCTCAAAGAAGTCCTTCCAAATCAATATGATTACTATTTACAATATAAATACATTAATGTAGCTATATTACTCATGTATAATTGATTGAGTACAAAATTCTGGGGTATTTTTGGTGAAAATAGGGTATCGGGCCTTGGTTCAGAAACCAATCCCCCATTTATAGCATTGTTTTTAATAAGAAAATTGGTTCCGAGTTACAACATTGCGACTTAAGACGCAGTTTTCAGGAACCAATTGTATCCTAAGTCTGAGGACTGCCTGTATATAATATGCTCCCTGATCCATATATATAGCCATAAGAAATGCCATATTTTTTCACATACAATGCACTCTGATCTCCAGGGCCGTGAAATAGGAGGGCAGAGAGACCAGGAGCAGCTTGCAGAAAACAAAATTGTCTTAAGAAGGGTTAGCTTAATTAGTGGAACATTGAGACAATTCAAAAGGATAAAGGATCATTAATGCCCATGATGAACAATGAGCCATTAAGTTAACTGACTCCTTCAGTTATCTGAGCAGTAATGCCATAGCTACTGCATGGTGGAGCAGCAATCAAAGCTGGGTGCTTTATCCTGATCAGAAAATCAGTTCCCCCATTTAATACATAGTTTCATAGTTTCTAGGGTCGGAAGGGACCTGAGCAGATCATCTAGTCCG